TTGTTGGTTTGATTGCCTCTATTGTTCTCCTCAATTGTAAGTCGCTTTGGACATAAGCGTCTGCTAAATTATTAAATGTAATGAAAACAAAAATAATAAATAAAATAAAATAAAATTTGAAAATTAAAAATGTATTATACTTTTAAAGCTGCAGTCTGCAGTTTTTCCTTTTTGTCGCCATCTCTGTTCGAAATCTGCAATTGCAGTTATTCGCAGAATTATCAACTTTACGTGAGTTGTACTTCGACACGGCACAGCGCGGATGAATCCAATGTTTTGAGGAGAGTGTGCGGCTGTCAGTCGCCGCGCCGGTGTGGATACTGGCATTCGGAATCACAGATTCTACTTTTTGGAAGTATGACCAACATAAGAATTTTCACCCTAACATGTTATCTGAACAAGTAAGAAACATCCACTTTTGTTCTTCTGACCAGCTAACTGAAAAAAGGCATTGCAGTAAATCGCGCTGATTAAATCTAACGATCGTTAATCATATCACGTCAAACCGTGCAAATTATACTTTGTTCTCAAATTGTTAATGTTAACAACACCAGCATTGCGTGACTACATTTAAAGCACTTCAGATATTTATCCTTGTTTTCGCATGGGCCCGCTTGCAGTCTCTTTTTCCAAACTCTCAGTCCAAAGTCTTTTGCATTTTACAGCGGGTGAATCTCTAGTTGTCACCGGTGAGTGTCGTTTGAACCTTTCTGGATCCGCCATCAAAATTGATAAGTTTAATTATATCAAGTGCTGTGAGAAAAGGCTATAAATCTCCACCTCCAGCATCCTCACGCAATATAGCTTATACTAGCCGAGACTCCTTCTCTATGTGTACAGATGTGTGTGTGCAGATGTGTGTGTACAGATGTGACGTAATGACGCAAAGACAGGCTCGAATCTCCCGCGGAAATCCACCAGTAGCACTGGAATTAAAAACATTATTACAAGCTTCCTGTTTTGAATCGAGCTACGGCAAGCAGATCGTTTTGAACACTGGCTGGTTATGCTTGCTCAAAACATGTATTTACGGACTGGAGCTTTAAATATATTTTAAATATTGTCTGAAATATACATACTTTAATATAATATTTGTGATGAATATTTTGTGGGCAAATAACATGATTTTAACTTTTTTTTTGTTTACATAAAACTGTCAAATGATGTGCTATTTTAAGAGACTTAAGGGCCTGCTACATCATTTTTTTTTCTTTTGCATGGTGCATGCATTTTCAAATATTTATAACATTAACAAAAGTGCTAATTGTTTTTTCCTAAAAAAAAATATGAAAGATTTTGCCAAACTATTTAATTAGGTTTATTTCTTTTAATGAGGCTTTTTTTCAATAATACATAGTTTTTATTATTATAAGGACTATTATTTTATTTATATTTAAAAGGACAGTCTAATGTATAAGTCTTTGTATGAACATTTTTAATGTAATTTAAAATTATCATGGTCCAAAAGAGGGACTAAACAACATGGCACACACCAATGTCAACATGAAAGAATTTGTGCAGATCAATTTGGACAGCACAGCGTTGCACGGTCTGACAGTTACGTCTCTGTAAGTGAACGTAAACAGATAGGGGGGAAATAATGTCAAAATGTGGGATCTGTGCATTAGACCTTACAGTGTAAATGCAGCCATTGTGAAGGAACAATTTTCGATGAACTTCCTTTCCATTGTTACGACAACAAAAGCACAGTGAACCCAAATGTAGTTTCTTTATGATTCATGGTTTCACCAGAGCATGTTGAAGAGCTCACCCGTCCCCGGCGTCGGCTCTGAACGATCCTCACCCCTCGTTCTCTGCGATAACAGACACCTGAACAGATGGATGCCGCGGCAGACAGACTGGGCCCGCTCACGTTCTTAAGTACACTGAGAATCACTGACAGAGAGAATGATGGAGCACCTGGCGTGGGAGAGAGACCTTCTGTTATGCCACTGTAAATTGGCTTGACAAGAAAAACGTTTCGCCTCTCAATGTCAGACATTTGAGCGCTGGCATAAACGGAACTGCAGCTCGGCAGGTGCGGCGCAGGAAAAGGAAAACTGATCCGCTGAACACATTTCCCTCATTAAGCGAGCTGCCCCGAGGCCGTGAATTACGCTCTCCGTTTCAACGGCTACAGAAAGCAACGTTAGACATTGCCGGTGTGTACTGTAGAAATTTCGTGCTAGTAATGAATAAAAGAACATTTGACTGGGTTTTACATTTTCAGAAGAAAGTTGAACTGGTGCTTGTCTGCGCAGAACTTGATGCTGAGGTGGTTTCTAAGGTGTTGATATATGGTTTCTAGGGTGTTTTGGGTAGTTGCCTGAGAGTTGTTGGACAGTTGCTAAGTTGTAGGTGGGTGCTAGGTTGTTTTGGGTGGTTGTTAGGCATGGTTATGTGATTTATACTGTGTTTTTAGGTGGTAGCTAGGAAATTCTAAGGAGTTGTTAAGCGGTTGCAAGGATGTTCTGTGTTTGTTAAGGGTTGTTCTAGAGCGTTGCTAGTTATGCAGTTGATAAAGCATTCTAGGTGGTTGCTATGGTGTACTGAATGGAAGCTAAATGGTTGCTAGAGTGTTTCTAGGTGTTCTAAATGGTTGTTCAGGTGTTGATATATGACTTTTGTGCATATTTTGAGTAGTTGCCTGAGAGATGATAGACAGTTGCTAAGTTGTAGGTGGTTGCTAGGTCGTTTCTAGGTTGTTATAGGAGGTTGCTAGAGACGGTTAAGTGATTTATACTGTGTTTTTAGGTGGTTGTTTCCAGGGTTTTGCTAAGCAGTTGTTAAAGTGGTATTAGTCTCGCGTAGCCAGACCTTCAGACTGACGGCTGAAGGTCTGGAACTCATAGCAGCTTTCTTTGGCCAAGGCCCGCCCATAAGGCCGTTTGACCGACATGTCAAACAACCAATTACAGTTCGTTTCGTTCAGCGTCACGTGGAAATGTCCCCACAACAACAGACCGGCGTGCAACAAGTCAGTCAGCATAGAAAATCAAAGGAGGAGAAGAAAACCGAACACAATACTGAATCGGCCAGCTGCGATGTCAGCGTCTGTTGTTTCATGTTTGCCCGCAAACGCGGCTGAAATCCCCTTCACAGTTAGGTATTTCACTTGATCTTCCATAATAGATCATAGCTGTCAACATTGAACATTGAATATAAGGGAGATTTCCCGGAATCCATCCCCAAAATAAGGGAATTTTTCTTACCCACCACAAACTAAAAATAAAGCACTAATCATTAAAAGTCTAAAGAGTTTATAACTACAAATGAGTGAGAGAGAAAGAGACAGTGTGTGTGTGTATTAGAGAAAGTGTGTCATTTTTTATCAGAGAATGTTTAAATAGGCCTACTAATATCAGTTTACGAGGGAAACGGTGCGTGGTGCTTCGGGGGCTGCTGGAGATGATTAGGGAGAGGTCAGTGCTCCTTTACCGATCAAAGCGCGCGCTGACACGGAGTATAATTGTTTATACTTGACGCGTCCGCACGAGCGCGGCAAAGATTACGCATCAAGATTACGCGGCAAGACCCCATTTCGCTTGGCTGTGTGCACAGCTTTTTTTGTAACAGCGCGCGCGGCGCCGCATCCGAGGATGAACGACTTCAAGCCGAATCTGCCCGAGCATGTCTCACACAATCAGAGTGTAAAAATACGGGATATTTTACGGGAAAATAATAAAACGGGAAGACAGCGGGAAAAGAGCTAAAATACGTGAGAAACCCGGAAAAACGGGAGGGTTGACAGCTATGTAATAGATAGGAGGGGACACACAACTAGTAAAGTTGGATCTGCTGGGAATCCTTATAAATGCTGACAAAGGGTCGGCCAGGCTTGGAAAATAATACTCTTCCCAAATCCCGTCGGCAAACAGGCTAAAATATTTCTTTTTGTCTCCACTAAGTGCCTCAAACAAAACTCCTGGACATCTCTTAAAGAGTCTACGCCGTGAACCTCGCATACTTTTGAGAATCCTACGTTTAGCTGATCTTGATAAATGCTCATTGTCACTCATGTAAACACAACAGTTTTTCTTCCGCAATCACACGTCTGCGCTTTGTTTCCCGGCAGACCGAAAATAAACGCGACACTCGCACCCCCCGAAAATCCGATCAAATTCAACCAATCAGATGACGACTTCGACATTCCTGAAGTGTTTCCAGTTAAGTGTACCATATGCATCAGACGTTTAGCCAACGTTCCGTGGGCGTGACGTCTGAGGCTGAGACTAAAGTGGTATAGGTGGTTGCTAGGGTGTTCTGCATGGAAGCTAAATGGTTGCTAGAGTGTTTCTAGGGAGTTGCTATGTGTTCTAAATGGTTGCTAAGGTATTGATTTATGGTGTCTATGGTTTCTTGGGTAGTTGCCCGAAAGTTGGGTTGAGCCTGGTCAGTACCTGGATGGGAGACCTCCTGGGAAAACTAAGTTTCTGCTGGAAGAGGTGTTAGTGATGGGGACACTATACTGTAACAAGCACCATCCCTTGGGTAAAGCGTTAAACCAAGGTCCCGACTCTCTGTGGTCATTAAAAAATCCCATAGCACTTATTGTAAAGAGTAGGGGTGTAATCCCAGTGTCCTGGCCAAATTCCCTCCATTGGCCTTTATCAATCATGGCCTCCTAATAACAATCCACATTCTTTCAATTGGCTCCATCACTCTCTCTCTCTCCTCTCCACCAGCTGGTGAGCGCACTGGCGCCATTGTTCTGTGGCTGCTGTCACTTCATCCAAGTGGATACTGCACACTAGTGGTGGTTGAGCGGAGACCCCCTGATATGATTGTAAAGTGCTTTGGGTGTACAGTAGTACATAGTAAAGCGCTATACACATGCCTCATTCATTCATTTATTCAACTTTTTTTTTTTTTTACTTGTCCACTAAGTGAAAATCTTTTCCAATAGTTTCCAAGCACTTTTAAAGCTCACTTTTCCATTGTCTGAAATGTTTCCCTCACAAATGTATTTGGCCAAAAAGGATTTTTTTTTTTTTTTTAAGAATTTAAAGCTATAGAAATAGCACACATCATTCTAATAAGCCATAGAAATCGCATTCAGTATAAGCAAAGATTACAACTTTCAAACGTTTCTGAAAAATCACTTTGGCTCTCAACTGAGCAATTACCAGCTCCCATGGTTTGGCCTTTAGAGCCCTAAACCCAAACTTGGGAGACAATTTGAACTTCTAACTTAATGGAAAGAAAAAAAGGGGGATCAGAAAGTAGTTAGCTCAAGTTTTAAACTCTTTGCACTAAAACAGATGAGTCGTCTTACAGCTCCATCTGTTTCTCTCAGTTTTATGTTCTCATTATCTGGCCGTTGGACACAGAAGGTGGCCGACAGGTCACACTCTTTTAGTTCTCCATCCCTCCTTCACCTTCTGTTTTTTCCACCTTATAATGTTCCTCTCTGAGGTTTCTTAACCGTTCTGCAGCCTGTGAAAATGGGGGAAAGGGAGAGAGACAGAAAGAAGAAACAGAAAAATGAGTTACTGTAGGCACTCAACAACCATATACTGTACACTACAGTTCAAAAGTTTGGGGTCTGTAAGAATTTTTTTATGTTTTTGATAGAAGTCTCTTATGCCTACTGGCAGCATTTCTTTGATAAAAAATACAATAAAACAGTAATATTGTGAAATTGTATTACAATTTAAAATAACATGTCCCCAAAATATGTTCAATGATCTGTCTATTTTGTCGTTGCCAAAAATGGTGGAAATGTTGAATAGATATTTTTGTAGACCTTCAGATACAGTATATGTCTATCCAGAAACTAGCTTACATAAAATAAACCTGTGCTGAGAAATATTTACTGAAGTGACAGCTTGCTCCAGTCTCCCCTATACAGTTCTCTAGAAGTGCTTGGACCAAAATTTGCTGGGATAGAGACATAAATTCGAAAAATAAAACTGTAGCAAAAAAAGGCAGATTGCTGTGAAAGCACATTATGAAAAACACACAGTGTGACCCAGACCCTCCAGCGCTGACAGACTCAGTATTCATGTCTAGCGCTCACAGTAGAGGAACCACCAGTCGCCCGCTCTCTCCTGAGATAAGTCCCTGCAGGGGTGTGATTAAACCTCCTAGCGGCTGTGTCACTTCCTGATCCAATCTCTCAGCCACAACACTTTAATTCCTTTGCAACTGCTGCTGTGGCATGGGTTGATGGAGGCTGTTGCCGCCGTTGAGTGAGAGGTCAGTCTCATAAACACTGGCAGCTGGGCTCGCAATGGGAGTGCCGCATTCATAAAGCCATAATAAATGTTACAGCACATTAAATCGCCCCAGAGGTTCAGCATGATATTCCAAACGAAAGCCGCTCAGTCATGACGTTTGAGCGCCAAAGTAAAAAAAAAAAGGCACTCACCGCATAACCCTTTGCGTCCCTGCGTAATGCTTGGCAATAAGCGCATATGAATATGTGCTTGTGCGCGCTAGGAACCAGTTAGGAACCAACCATACGCAAACTCTAAATATGGCTATGACATTTGTGAGTTTTGACTTGTTGAGCAGTGGTGCACAACCTGGATTCAAATCTGGACTAATGATTTGATTTCTGGACTGGACTATGTAGTTCACCCTAAAACTTAGAACACTGTCATCAGCTGCTTTAAATGCTCAATCTTTTTAAAGTCAGGTGGATTCTGATTGGCTGTCAATGAACATTCTTAAAGTGTTTCCAACATATCATTTTCATTATTTGTGGTGCAGACTTCCCTACTCTCATAGAATTAGATTTAGATTAGATTAGACTTTATAGTTATAGCCTTTGATTTGAATGAGCCTTTACTCAAGCTGAAATATGTCTATGTCTATCTGTGACGCACCAAATCAGTGTCTGAAACTTCTCAACTTCAACTTTGTTGTCAAAAACACTACTGAAGCAGCCAGATAACTTGTGGAACCAATTATATTCCAATCTCAGTTTCATCCTCTCATAGACTTCTCTTTTTCTCAAAAATACTAATGTGAAAAGTTGGTGTAAGAACATACATATAGTATTGTGAGGTGAACCACTGAATCAAACTAAAGCTAATACTAATTATCGGGGTAAACAGAGTCCATCGGGAGCACAATATTGGCTTGTTAAATTGGGACTGGTCACTCTAGTGTGTTCTCACTCTAACCTGGCTTTGAGTCCCCCACCAATCGCAACCCAGCTCGGTAGACAGAGGTCAGGTCAACAGATAACCAAAAGTACAATTTATCGCAGCCCAAACCATTCTCGCTCGTTTAGCTCGGAGAAAAACAGATGTCCTGGTTTAGGACTGATAACGCTCACCGCCTGCTGATAAATTTCACATTCAGGTGGACAAGCTAGGGGGGGAAATGGGTTTGCGAGGAGTGTGAAAAGGGCTCGGATTGCTGTCGGGAGGGGGGGAGGGGGTGATTGTGCCCAAGTCTGTGCGACGGACAGAGTCACAGCGTGACAGATCAGCGATGACGGCCAGTGTCCTGACAACCTCCGGATGGAAGGCTGTAATTTGATCAAGCTATCAATCAATACATCCAGATGGGCATCAATCAAGAGCGTAACGTGCTGCACCCTTATCCTCGATCCCTTCGGCGGCCAATGAGAAAAACGAGACAGGAAAATAGGGGACTCAATTTCTTGTTCGGCTCCCCTTCCCTCACTTGACAGCATCAGACTGAGCAGGGTCACCCTGGCCTGGGTATGCCTGACAGAAACACTTAGATGGTGGAAGTAAGTCCCACATGACTGGACACATTAATGAAGCAGGTGAAGTAGGTGCAGAAGTAATGGAAATATGAGTCATTGTGAATTAAACGAACGCTGCACTCTTCCAACGGTACTGAGGACAGTAGCTCAGTACCGCAAGAAGAAGTCAGAAACTGATAAGCGTGACATTATAACAGCGCTTTAAAACTCCTTGCGATAAACAACAAAAGTCGCCTCACTAGCCAATTATTTAAAATCTGACAGCATCGGCTGTCGGGAAAGCCACTTCAGAAGCCATTTATAACCTTTGTATTTGGAGAAACGGGGCAGAGTAATGTCAGGTCATAAAAAGCAGGCATTAAGAAATAGGTTATCTACATCTTGGGTGTTGAACTAGGAATAATTGGAGAACTAAAGCTTAGTGGAAACTCTAAATGTAGTGGAAAGACAGATAAAAACACCCCCGAGTCAGGAGAAGAACACAATCTACAGGTCTGCCAAGGCGTTAAATTGAAACCCAAACCCCAGCCTGTAAACGAGAACCTGTGACCTGATCCAAACGGTATTGTCAGATTTTATGACCAAACAGGACATTGCTTACTCTTTTTATTTCCCATCAAGCGAGTAGACCCAGATGCACATTTACAGAAAGCCAACATGTCTGCTAAGAGTTATGTTAAAAATGAAAAGAATATATATTATAAATGCCATTTAAAAATTTTATTATAAATATTTTGCACAATGCACATTTTAGAGAGCACAACTAAGAAATATTACTGTAAATATGATAATTATTATCAGGTGTGTATTTACAAAAAGCCAAAAGCCTGATAAGATATGTTAAAATTAAAAGATAATAATAATAACAACAACAACAACATGCGAGAACATATTAGAACATGTTATTGTAAACACGATAATTTTGGTTGTATTTGGTAACACACGTTACATTTACTAAAAATTGGGTAACACTTTATTTTAAGGTGCTTGTAATAAGCAGTAATTAACAGTTAATAAGATACTTATAAGACCTTATAAGATGCATATAAGATGCATATAAGCATTAACTAATGATAATAAATAAATTAAATTAAATAATACATTTCTCAAGTATCAATACATTGCACTTTTAGAACAGCCGAACAAACATAAATGGTAACACAAACTCCCAGGCCCTTAAAAATTGACCTTCCCAAGAGGGAGTAGTTTCCCTGATCTCTTCAGGGCCTGGACCTTTAATTAACCCTTATATGAAGTAGTTAATGCTTATATGCATCTTATAAGGTCTTATAAGTGTCTTATTAACTGTTAATTACTGCTTATTACAAGCACCTTAAAATAAAGTGTTACCAAAAATTGTGCTTAATTACATGCAAACCACGCTCTAATCCTAACCCTATAGCAAGTACATACAGTTAATTATTATTATTCAGTACTTACATTTATAATTGCACTGTTACACGGACACATTCAAATAAAGTGTAACCCTTTATTTTACGGTATGTGCACTTACTGGGTAATATAAGGTAACTACATGGGTTAAAGTTAGGTTTCAGGGTAGGTTCAGGGTTATTACCTAGTAATTACACAGTTATTGTGACTACTATAATAAGTACATAGTATGTACATAGAGAACTTGACTGTAAAATAAAGTGCTACCGTATTTGTTTTACAAGAAAAAAGAAAACATACCTGTTCAGGTGTAAGATCCCTCTGTTCATTAGCTAGCATCTCATATCCAACCATAAACTTGCGTATGGTTTCGGATCGCAGTAGAGGAGGATAGTAGTGAGCGTGCAGCTGCCAGTGGCTCATGTCTTCCTTTAGATGACTTCCTGTCGGAGCCCCTGGAGTGTAACAGACCACAACTGTTACCACACATAATGCAATGTTATTGGACACTATTAAGAGCATCATCATATCTACATTCAATTTCAATTTAAAACAACATATGCCCAACCCAATTTTCTTCCATAATGTGACATATTTCCAAATGGATTTTAAATGAGAAAATAGAGCCAGACCTAAAAGCGAGTTTGCAGTGGATTGTGGGGAGAATGAAAATGTAGTCCAAGTAGGGCCGAGCGATATAGTCGAAAAAAAATGATCACGATTATATTTGTCTCCCAAGTGAAAGATGTAGAAACCAGACCATTAATTGTGGTTTTAAACTACTCTTTATTGTGGGAACATGACAAATACTTCCCAAACAAGTGAACATTTCACAAATCTGAGGTAGCATTCAAAATATTTTTTGAATTCTGTACACTTTTCCAGTCATTTTGCCTTTACAAAATAAATACATTTCTTAGTGTCTGCATGTTCTAACGGGTGATATTGTTTCAAGTCATGAAACAGGTTTGTGTTGCCTGACTTTTATGATTTGCAGTGCAGGCAGCAATATTAATATCATTACATGTCTTGGCTCTTAGAAATTCACATTTGACAGTAGCTTGAGTTAAGATGCAGATGTAAATGTTCATTAACAAAAACAGTAACATCAATAAAAATTGTAATTTTATACCGTAAATTTTTTATATTATTTGAGTTTTATTAAAATTAACCATTGCTCTTCCATAGTAGCATACATTTAGATCATGATAACCCTGCATATAGCAACTCGCTACCGTGGTAAAATGTAACTACAGTATATGGTTTCTATGGTATTTGTATGAAAAACATAGTATAACTGCACAAATGCTATAGCTTAATCGCATTACTCCTTTAATACATTTAATGCACGTCTAATATATCACAGAAAAGGTATTTCAAACTTCTTTTTACCCTTTTAACTTCTCTGTGAGTATATCAGGGCCTTAAACCACTGCATAAAACAGAAAAGATTACCTACAATAATAAAATAGCTGCCATCTGCCCTTAGACCAAGTTATTATTTGACGAAAGAGTACAAAGACAAACGTTTTTTGGAATAACTTTCCATGATGAACTCTATCAAATAAGACCAAGAACATTTATTAAGAAAGTAATAGGGTCAAGTTTAAATTCATATTGATTCTAGAATGATGTCACGACCTCTGTCGACTGAACAGACGTGATCTTTGCAAGGAAATGAAAGTTCAGTCGTTCCCATTAAGAAGTTAAGACGCAGAATGCGATGGCTCATTAAGTTTACTATGTGTTTCATTTTCAGCAACAGATCAAAAAAATGCCAGCTATCCCGACGGAGGTCATTCTCAGAACCCCTTCAAAAATTCATTCGTGCGCGATTCATTCCGATCAAATTGACTTGGCATCCATCTATCTTATGAGAAAAAGACGCGTGGCTATACATCAAAGCTGAATATGCTGAACAGAACAAACCACAGCATTTAAATCCTTCATTACGAACCCAGCCAATGTACAATAACAAGGCCTGCAAACCTTCGGATGCCAGTGGCATTGTGAGACCTCTCTTTAAGGTTTCACGGTGCATATTAAGTTATAAAATGGCTGTGAGAACCAGTGGTTTGGCAGTCCGCCCAATCCCAGATCCCCCTCTCTTATCCCCATGTAATGAATGAAAAGCGTATCATGCAAGTTAAATCAGATTCATCCCGACTGCTCCAGTCAAACGGCTGTTCATTTCCTTTGCTGGCATTTTCTCGACCGCCTCATGCTAGCTGGATGTTACAGGGTTTGGATCGGGGTCTTGCTTCCCAGCACTCACATATCTCTTTTTGGCCCGTCTTGGGTTTCTTCCCGCGTTTGTTGACGTTCCTGCTTTACATTTGGTTTCCCGGCTCTCAGGGGTTACTTCAATGCAGTGCGAAGGTATGTAGAGATCGCTGGCTAGCGGCCATTTTCATCCGTGCCAGTGAAAATAATAAAAGGCTCAGATTCTCCAACGCTGGACCTAATTTAAACAGTCTGAACGTGTAAAAACACTCGGCACAACGGCCAAGAATATCAAGTTTGGTGAGCTGAGCTCTACAAGATATTCCATGTCTATTTACCAATTATAGTGATGTCATCGCTTCGAATACAATTGGGAACGTTGCATGCAATTGGATTGCTCATACGCCTAACATGTACCATTATTATGATTCATGAATATCGCTGAATAATAATGAACCACCCAACTTTTGCTGAAGTCTATTTGCACTCAGGAACACAAGTCAAATATGTCAGATCAATAAAACGATATGGCAAATAAGTGGATGAGTGGTAATTATGTATGCGTGTGTGTGTGTGTGTGTGCTCTTTCAAATTGTAGAAAGGGAAGACCAGGGCAGTTGTCACAAGTATCATCAAGTCAATAACTTTGAGTCAAAAGTCCAGTTGCACAAATGTGCGTTTTCTCCAATAGTGGTTTTGTAGGTTTGTTCTAAACACTGAGTTCAGACAAGAGTTTTCTTCATAACTGTTAAGTAAGGTAAGGTTGCCATGTATGTTTTATGTTTTGTATATTTTTAATATTTATAATAGTATAATTAACACACACATATAATAGTATAATTAACACTCACACACGCACACACACTTCGTTTTCACAACCACCAATTTAAATCAAGGCTGAAGCAATTCTAATTTTGGTTGCCTCATTAGCAGTGACAATAGTGCATCAAAACAGAGCAGACTCTCGCTAATATATAATGCAAAGTTGATCTGAAGTTTGCTCTGAATAAAAATAGGAACTCTTTTTGCGTAAACAGAAATATGTCCCTTTCATGATGAACATGGATATAAATAATAAGGCAAGCTGAATTCAAGGTATGCTTTTAGAGCTTTTATTCAATTAAAGTCTTCACAAGTCTTATCCACAAAGCTACACTATATGTTTATTTGTTTGGAAAAGACTGAAGCTATCTAATAATTGTCAATTTGCACCACTGTGCAGAAATGGCCAAAACACAAACAACTTCAATGACAGTAAAAGCAGGATTTCAGGACTGAAAAGTTCCACTAGTTACAGTGACTGGCTGGTCATTTTTGCAGTCTAAATAATGTGCCATGACTGTTTATCCTGGTTCTCCTGAATACATTTTAAATATGAAATGCATTACATTTCTTGCTGTAAAAGGGGAGCTGTTTATTATATACAGACCATACTAAGCTCCAACAGCCTTTAGTGGTGGAAGCTAAAACCTGTTTTACATGCTAGATGTGCCTAAACAGACTGAAAGCCAACTGGCTCTTGCTGATCGTGTGGTCTTTGTCTTCTTTTAGCCTTCAATTGACATGCCTCGATATTCCTTCATCTGCTAATAGAGGATCATCAGGAAAAGGTATTTGTTGGAGGTAAACATTATTTTATAACTTTACCCACTGAAAAAAAAAAGATATGAATAAAATAAAATAAAATGTGAAAAAGGTAAGTATTTGCTTCATCGTCTCAAACAACTTTCCTTTTCTGATGATGTCACCAAACCCTCTTATGAGCCAAGTTACAAAACCCAGTGAGCCGCCGGACAATTGGTCTTGAAGTTTTACTATAGGGAATATTCTGAAGATACATTGTAGCATGATTATTTCTGTTAAACAAAACTAAAATCATAAAAAATAAAGTTTCTTGAAAATTACCTAAACCTAAAAAGAAAAAAACAAATACCAATGCAAAAATAAAAGCTAAATTTGAATTAAATACTCATTTTAAAAATATTAATAAAAACAGTAATAATATCTCAGTAATAATAAAATTACACTGAGGTGTATCTATCCTTCAAGGAGAATTTAATTCCATAATGCACAGCAAAAAAAGCTCTATGAACACCCATCTATGAAGAATGAAACAAGATAAATATTGATCTATAAATCAAAAAATTAGACTTCATATTACGTGGACGGACACGCAAGAATAGGTGAACATGTTCCTCCAACCAACAGTGAGAAATCGATTTTTGGAAACGAGTCCACCAATTCCAGAACGAGGAAACGGAGTCGATTCCAAATATTTCAGAATCGAACAGCCCTAGTTAACAGGTTGCATGCTAGATTCGTCCAATCAATGATACTGACATTGCAAATATGCAAATAAGAACATGAAGCAAGTTTAAGTAAAAAAAAATCAGTTTATGAATACCCAGGGCTAATAGTTAACCCTGGGTCAATTTCGAGCAGTGTGAAACGTGAAGCAAAATAACCCAGGGTTTCCGTTTCCCCGGGGTTTAGAATGATGAACTATTTCAAGTGTGAAAAGTCTAATACTTGTATTCAGCCAGAAGATTTTACCTATATTTGCAAAAGTAAAACTTATTCAAGGAACCAAATTAAGTAAGACCAGAAGGTGACATCAGCAAGAGTGTCTCATTAACGGTAAAAGTTGCCATGCTGCTAACACACAACAGAGCTGTGCTAATTAGCCCGCTAACGCTACCTCCCCGGCTCATCAGAATGCCTTTGTGCCTTCGGTGACAAAAAAAACAAAAACAAATATTTCCTTTCCCCAAACTAATGAGCTCCATTGGAAACAAAATAACAAGCTTTTCATGGGACGCGATGTGTACTGGCATCCTTTATTAAATGTGACTTTCCACTTTTCCAAACATTAAATCAAAGTCGAGGTCTCCTAAAACCAAAAACGGTTGAAAGTGAAGCTTGTGGCTTGTACATCTTATTTCCTACGTTTGGTTTTGGAGTGAAATATGTCCTGGACAGCTTGCACTCATCACTTTCTGTAATCTTCTGACTTGGCTCTCTATAACTGAGTGAAGAGAAACATATAATCCTCTCGAAAAAATCTCCAGCTCTCTTCATAAGGTATCTGTATCTGAGGAGACTCGCTCACACACACTGTAGGAGGTGGACATGCCGACCATGTACTGAACAATCATTGAGTTCATCAGGACCATGTCAAACAACCTGTCCATCAGATACTAGATGTTCTCTAGCATCAGGAGGTCAGGACATC